CAGGAATCGGATTAAATCGATAGGGCTAAGCCAGGTTTCAATTGGATTAAGCAGCGTCCATCTAGGGCCGGCGGCGGCTGAACTAAATGGGCTTAAAGAAGCGTCCCTTTAAAGCTGGAGTGAAGGGGAGGGGAAAATGGGGGTTCTTTGCTGCATGATGGCTTATCTTCCTGGTGGAGACGCCTGTCTGAGAGTGGCTGAGCTCTCTGGGCAGGGGGAACTGGTGACAGTCCCCAGCTTGGGCTGCTCGGAGTCTGGCTGGGGAAAAGGGAGGAGGAAATGGCTCTTGAGTTTGGATGTGAGTCCTTCCTGGCATCTCTGCCTACCTCAGGGGTCTGAGTCAAGGCCAGGAGTGTTTGCTTGGAAGACTGTGCTCCCTGGATCCTTGCAGGGAGCCACCTGTGGACACCAGCTGAGGCATGGAGGCTGCTGAGTGTGCTCCACGGAGCTGGGCCTGGTGGGCTTCCGTGCCATGGTAGAGGCGTACTAGGTAGCTGGTGCTTATCTCCAGGGCCTCTTCTCCAGTGCTTTTGTGCCTCCCCAAGGGGGTAGAATCCCATTCTGCCTTGCAGATTGCTCCAGGGGACTGGACTGTTGAGTGGGGCACGTAACGGGGACTGCAGCGCTGAGCGTGGGGAAATCATAGAACTCTCCCCCCAGGTGGGACTGGGGTGGGGTGGGGGCTCTCTGTCATTGTGGGGCAGCTCCTACTGCCTCCGTTTCTCCATGAGCTGGATACTCTGGGATGGGGCAGAGGGGAACAGGGTCTTAAGATGCAATAATGGATTAACCCCTTGTCTGCCAGGCTCAGCTCCACCTTCCAGCCTCCTAGGATCCTGTTTCCTCGCCTTGGCGTGCAGGTACTCCCCAGTCTTGACTTCTCTACTCTTTCAGGGTCCCCCATACCATCTCTTTCATAGAATCATAGAAGGTTAGGGTTGGAAGGGACCTCAGGAGGTCATCTAGTCCAACCTCTTGCTCAAAGCAGGACCATCCCCAACTAGATCATCCCAGCCAGAGCTTTGTCTAGCCAGGTTTTGAAAACCTCCAAGGATGGAGATTCCACAACCTCTCTGGGTAACCTGTTCCAGTGTTTTACTACCCTCTTAGTGAGAAAATCCTTCCTAATAGCTAACCTCAACTTCCCTTGCTGCAACTTGAGACCATTGCTCCTTTTTCTGTCATCTGCCACCACTGAGAACAGTCCAGCTCCATCCTCTTTTAAAACCCCCTTCAGGTAGTTGAAGGCTGCTATTAAATCCCCCCTAAGTCTTCTCTTCTCAGACTAAATAAGAATAGTTTCCTCACCCTCTCCTCATAAGTCATGTCTTCCAGCCCCCCACCATTTTGTTGCCCTCTGCTGGACTCTCACCAATGTATCCACATCCTTTCATTAATGGGGGGCACAAAACTGAACACGTACTCCAGATGTGGCCTCACCAGTGCTGAATAGATGGGAGTAATCACTTCCCTTGACCTGCTGGCAGATCTCCTACCAATACAGCTCAGTATGCCATTAGCCTTTTTGGCAACAAGGGCACACTGCTGGCTCATATTCAGCTTATTGTCCACTGTAACCCCAAGTCCTTTTCTGCAGAGCTGCTGCCCAGCAAGTCAGTCCCCAGTCTGTACTGGTGTATGGGATTGTTCTGTCCTAAGCACAGGACTTTGCACTTGTCCTTGTTAAACCACATGTGATTTCTTTTGGCCCAATCCTCCAATTTGTCTAGGTCACTCTGAATCCTAGCCCTAGCCTACAGTGTATCTACTACTCCCCCAGCTTGGTGTCATTAGCAAACTTGCTGAGGGTGTATTCTATGCCATCATCCAGGTTGTTGATGAAGACATTGAACAAAATTGGGCCCAGGACCGACCCCTGGGGCACTCCACTTGATACCAGCTGCCAACTAGACATTGAGCCATTGACTACCACTCTTTGAGACCAATGGGCCAGCCAGTTTTCTGTTCACCCTACAGTCCATTTATCCAGCCCGTATTTCTTTCCATACTTCCATAGTTTCCTTCACTCCTGGACCAGATGAGGCAGTCACCCCCAAGCCCTGCCCCCGACCCCAGGGCCCTCTTTGTGCTGGGACAGGAGCACTCTTGAGGAAGCTGTAGCTTGGGACCAGGGTCCTCTCCTGCTGCTGGGTCCCTCAGGTGACCCCCCCCGCCCACCCTCAGTCACCTGCAGGGTTGGTATTGGGTCACAGAGGGGATGATCCCATCCCCAGCACCCCTGGGGTGCATGGGCAGTGCCAGCAGCAGGAGACTGGCTCTTCTCCAGCGTGTTGACATTAGTTTTCTCAGACAGTTGATGAACTCTGTGTGTAGATAGATGCCTGTCTGCTGCTCAGTTGTGGCTATGCCCAGCACATTGTGACAATGGCTTGCTGTTGGCTGGCTCCTGTACAGTACCTGTGGAGAGGCTTGTAAACTTGAGGGTGGATGCTGAGCATGGTGTTGTCATTGGAAGGTGGCTCTTGTGCAGTGGAGAGGGGGTGGGGGTTGTCAGTGCAGGGTTTCTGCTGCATGCTGCGTGTGCCTGGCAGTTGCTGTGCACTGCATGTGGCAGTGGTATAGTGGTTACTGTAGCATGACTGTGTTACCTTATTTAGGGAATGGTTATGGCTGTTTTTTGTATTGGTGGGACACAGTTATTGTACTGCTGTAAATTGGGCAGGGGGATGGTTGTGAGTACGCTGTGATGGGGGGGATGATTGCTGTAGCACAGCTGCTAGACACGGTGAGAAGTAGGATGGTTGTTACTATAGCACTGCTGCTAGAAACTGCGTGTGTGGGCACTGTGGTTACTGTAAAGTGGCTGCCGTACACTGTGCAGAGACAACTGGTGCTGTAACATTTCAGGTCTGTTCCATGTTGGGGGAGGGTTCTTGCTGTATCATGGACGGGGGAGTGGCGATGCCTGTAGTGTGGCTGCTATATACACTGTGAAGAGCGGGACAGGTGTTACTATAGATTGCTGCTATAAATGGTGTGTTTGGGCTTTGTGGTTACTGTAGCCTAGCTGCTGTATGCTGTGTAGGGGATGGTTGTTACTATAGTCTGGTGTGGGGACTGTGGTTACTGTAGTCTGGCTGCTGTACACTGTGTAGGGGGTGGTTGTTGCTGTAGTCTGGGTGTGGGGACTGCAGTTACTGTAGCCTGGTTGCCGTATGCTGCATGTGGGGATGGTTGTTACTGAATCACTGTGGTTGTACACCCTGTGTGGGGATGATTGTTGCTGTAGCTGGTGTATGGGCACCATGGTTACTGCTACCTGGCTTCTAGTCAGTATGTGTAGGGATGTTTGTTGTTGTAATAACTGTGTATGAGGGTGGCTGTATTTTTCAGGTTGCTGTGTGAGGGGATGGTCATTTTAGGAAGGTGTTGGCATATGTTGTGTGTGGGGACAATGTTATTGGAAGATTGCTGTTATATGCTTTGTGGAGAAAACAGTCACTTCTAGAAGATTGCTGAGGACACTGTATGGGGATTGTTAGGGTGACCACATTTGGATCTTGGGGAGCACTGGGTGTGGAGCTGAATAAAGGCTTTTTCCTGTGTCTCAGCAAAAGATGCTGGTCACAAGGCAGGATGATATATTAAAAGTAACTAACTTTGCAAATGCTTAAGCAGTTTCCTAGCAAAAGGATAGTGTGCAAGATGCATGATATGTTGTGTAAGAACAGGATACAGACCACCAGCTATCATCAGGAGATAAAGCAGAAAGAAGTAAGACCTTGGAGATGAAGGAGGAGTCAGCAAAGAACCAGAAAGAACCAGCAAGAAACCACAATTGACCAGGAGAAGACAGGGTCAAAGTCTTATGCATGCACTCTTAGCAAAGAGGCGTGTAAATGAATGAAATGCATAGGCAATACCATGCTAATGAAGCAAACAGTAAACAGTGGCGGAGCTTGAGATGGGAGGAGAAATGGGTGGAACTGAAGGAGGGACATAGGCAGAGTGAATGTTAATAAGCTTGAATCAAGGTGTATAAAATGTGAAAAGAACTATTGTTCACTGCGGTTCCCTGGTTTGTTGTTTTTTTTGGGACCTGGCCCGAAGCTGTCTCCATTCTGAATAAAGCTGTTGCGAGCAATGTGTGCTGGTGTTTGCACCCTGCCTGCTCTGGCTAATGAGTAACAGGATCCATGAGCAATTGGATTGTCGTCTCCCTAGCTGTTGGGTGCCGCAAGGAGTTGGGGTCTAACAGGGATGATGAAGGCTGTAGGACAACTTCCACGTACTGTGGGTGGTGATGATTGTTCCCATATGTTCTGCACATGGGGGTAGTTGTGACTCTATATTTTTTTCTCTGCACTGTTTGTGGATATGTTTCTTAGTGTTAGAAGGCTGTTATACCCTGTGTGTGGGGATGGTGGTTGTTCCACACTTGTGTTGGCTTGTGTTCTCTCCTGTCTGGTGGGACTATTACAGAAGGCTTATTGCCATGGGTTGTGTGTGCAGATGGGAAGCAGGGTGGATAGTAACTGTTGACATTATGGTTGATGGTTCATTATAGGGGAATCTATAGGCAATGTTGGCATTTTTAAAGCATAGGGATGAGGCAAAGCAGAGGGAACCAGTGGTTGTTGAGTTCTTGCTATAGGATGTTCTGGATGGACGGGCACGTTTGGGGACCTGTGACATGGGAGTTTCTCACAGGGCATATCATTTTGGCCTGGGGGGGGCCCTAGGGGGACTGTGCTTTGGGGATTCACATAGAGCATGTTGTTAGGAGAAGGGACAGTGGTATGTGGTGGTTCAGGGTGGGGCGCTCCCTTCAGCAGTTCAGTGAGGGAGTTCCTTATGGACGACAGTATTTATGGCTGGGAATGAGGGATCCTCTGGGGACAGCAGTTTCTGGTGTCTTTGCAGTGGCATTTCTGTTGGGGAGAAGGTCTTTGGTGTTGGGGAAGGGGGGAAGTTGTAGAGAAAACTGGTATTTGGCCATGGGGAATTGAGTAGGGGGTTAGGGGTGTCGGGAGAACTGGTGAGGTGACTGGAGGAGACAGCCATGCCAATGTAAGAATTTTGGGTGGGATGGCAGCATTTCAGGATCTGGAATGGGGACAGGAATGCTCAAGGGGACTAGCAGCATTTGAGGATACAGGGTTGCAAGTTCTTTTGGGGATGGTAGTACCCAGTTTGGGATCCTGTAGGGGACAGATATATCAGGGCAGGGTGGCAGCATTAGGGCTTCAGGGGCTTATAGGGGTGGTCCTGTTGCGCTTCTCTGTGTGGTGGGGAGTTAGTGAAGGGATCACCGTGGGTATTGGAGGGATGGACTAGAGGGGGCTCTGGGCCTCCTTCTGTCCGTGTCACTGGTGATCTCCCAGGTCCTCCTGCCAGGCTGGCTGCAGTGGGGGTTGCTCCAGGCTTGACTTTTTGGGCAACAGCCAGTTCATAGATTCATATATGTTAGGGTCGGAAGGGACCTCAATAGATCATCGAGTCCGACCCCCTGCATAAGCAGGAAAGAGTTCTGGGTCTAGATGACCCCAGCTAGATACTCATCTAACCTCCTCTTGAATTGTGTCTCAACTCCGTGCAGCTGCTGATGTAGGCCAGACTCCCCATGGGAAGCCCTCTTCCCACTTAAATTTGAGGATTTGCTGCTCCAAGGCTGTGGGTCCTTGTTTCCCATGGCTGGGCCTAGACCCCTAGTACTCATTCCCAACCCCACCTCTGCCCCCAATGTTGTACCATGGCAGCAAGTCTCCCAGACTGCCAGGGTGTAGTAAGTCTCCTCATTCAGTTCTCCATTGGCATCATGCCAGTATCCCCACCTCTCTATTAGGTGGGGATACTAAGCCAGGCAGATGTGTACCACCTGCTGTACCCCATACCATTTCTATGATCTGGGTGTGGCAGGTTACAGGGTCATTTTGCCCCCACTGGAAGGTAGCAATTCCCATGGCTGTCTGCACACTGCACAGGGGCTTTCCAAAACCCTGTGCCCATCTCTATTCACTGATCTGCAGCTTCCCCTGGAGCTAAGAGGCTCAGGGCTCAGACAGGGTGTCAGCAGCAGTGCTTGGTACCATGGTTGGCTGGTCTCCATTTGAGTGGGAATGGCTCTGTCATGGCAAAGGGAGGTGGTGACCTCCCTCCAGTGTCATCTTGGAAACACAATCATGGTGGGAACATTTGGACCTTAGGACATTTGCATGCTCAGGCTTGTCCTAAGGTGGAGTGTAGGAAGTACAACCTGTACCTGGGCAGGGGATTCCCAAGAAATGGGAGAGGGGCTCGGGGTTCTGAGGCCATGGTTTGGGGCAGATGCTTTGTTTGGGGGCCTATGGAAACCATACTTGAGGGAGAAATGGTTATGTTTCCCACAATGTGTGGAGGGAAAGGCACAGGTGTCTGAGGAGAAGCTTACTGTGGAGATATATCTGGAGATGTGTCCCTTCTTCAGGGGAAGGTGGGAGGGCAGCTGGTGGTGGGGTGGGGAGGCAGCCTGAGCTGGGGCATCATGATGCTACCTCAGGACCCCTGCTAACCCCTGATCTTACCCCCTCCTGGCTTAGCTTTTAAGAGATTCAGCCCTGCATCCCACCATGCTGCCCCCCTTCCCCAACCAGGGCAGTTTGGGATAGAGGCAGGAAGTGAACTTGAGCTCCCATGGGTTGAGTCATTGGAGTGCATGGGGCACTTGGTGCATAGGGAGCTAACCCTAGGGGGACAGTTGCCATGTCCTGGCAAGGATACCTATTGGTGTCTCCCCCCTTGGGGATGGCCCTGTGTCCTGGCGTTGGTGCTCACTGGTGTCTTCCTCTCTGTCCTTGTGTCTCAGTGTCTAGGGATTTGAGCACGCACCCAGAGGAGGATTCGCCCACTGAAGCATGAGCGTTGGACATGGCTGCCCCCCGCTGCTGCTCCCGGAGGGGGCCGCTGGCTCCCAGTGCCTGTAGGATGCTTTGGAAGCAGGGCTTGCTGCTGGCACTGTGGCTGCCTTCGCTGGCACTGGCTGGGACCTCGCCCACCTCGTGCCCAGCTGCCTGCTCCTGCAGCAACCAGGCCAGCCGTGTCATCTGCACACGCCGGGAGCTGGTGGAGGTGCCGGAGAGCATCTCCATCAACACACGGTACCTCAACCTTCAGGAGAACAACATCCAGGTTATCAAGACTGACACCTTCAAGCATCTGCGGCACCTGGAGATCCTGCAGCTGAGTAAGAACCTGATCCGTAAGATCGAGGTGGGCGCCTTCAATGGGCTGCCCAACCTCAACACCCTGGAGCTGTTTGACAACCGTCTGACCACGGTACCCACACAGGCCTTTGAGTACCTCTCCAAGTTGCGGGAGCTCTGGCTGCGCAACAATCCCATTGAGAGCATCCCATCCTATGCCTTCAACCGTGTGCCCTCACTGCGTCGCCTGGACCTGGGTGAGCTCAAGAAGCTGGAGTACATTTCAGAGGCGGCCTTCGAGGGGCTGGTGAACCTGCGCTACCTGAACTTGGGCATGTGCAACCTCAAGGACATCCCCAACCTGACGGCGCTGGTGCGCCTGGAAGAGCTGGAGCTCTCGGGGAACCGGTTGGACATGATTCGCCCGGGCTCCTTCCAAGGCCTCACCAGCCTGCGCAAGCTGTGGCTCATGCATGCCCAGGTGGCCACCATTGAACGCAATGCCTTCGATGACCTCAAGTCGCTGGAGGAGCTCAACCTGTCCCACAACAACCTCATGTCGCTGCCCCATGACCTCTTCACCCCCCTGCACCGGCTGGAGCGGGTGCACCTCAATCACAACCCCTGGCACTGCAACTGCGATGTATTGTGGCTCAGCTGGTGGCTGAAGGAGACGGTGCCCAACAACACCACCTGCTGTGCCCGCTGCCACGCCCCACCCAGCCTCAAGGGGCGCTACATTGGCGAGCTGGACCAGAGCCACTTCACCTGCTATGCCCCTGTCATCGTGGAGCCGCCCACTGACCTCAATGTGACGGAAGGCATGGCAGCTGAGCTGAAGTGCCGGACGGGCACCTCCATGACCTCAGTCAACTGGCTGACGCCCAATGGGACGCTGATGACGCATGGCTCATACCGGGTACGGATCTCAGTGCTGCATGATGGGACCCTCAACTTCACCAATGTGACCGTGCAGGACACGGGTCAGTACACCTGCATGGTGACCAACTCGGCTGGCAACACCACCGCCTCAGCCACACTGAATGTCTCAGCTGTGGACCCAGCCACCACTGGCTACACTTACTTCACCACGGTGACAGTGGAGACCATGGAGACAACGCAGGAGGACACTGTGCCAACCAAAAAGGAGCCAGGCCCCACGCCCAGCTGGGAGATGACCTACTCCACCACCTCGCTGACACCCCGCTCCACCCGCTCCACGGAGAAGCCTTTCACCGTGCCCATCACCGTGGTGACTGAGAATGGCATGAAGGACCTGGACGATGTGATGAAGACGACCAAGATCATCATTGGGTGCTTCGTGGCCATCACTTTCATGGCGGCCGTGATGCTTATCGTCTTCTACAAGCTACGCAAGCAGCACCAGCTCCACAAGCACCATGGCCCCACTCGCACCATTGAAATCATCAATGTGGAGGACGAGCTGCCAGCTGCTGCTGGTGCCCCCGGTGACAGCCACCTGGCTTTGCCAGCCCTGGAGCATGACCACCTCAACCACTACACGGCCTTCAAAGCTCACTACAATAACAATGCCGGTGCCCCTCACACCCACAGCATGTTCCTCCATCCACGAACCTCTGCTGTTCAAGAGCAGCTCAAAGGAAAACGTGCAAGAGACGCAGATCTGAGGGGCAGGGGCACCCCTCCCTGCTGCCTTGGCCCCCACAGAGCTCCCCCTCCCCACCCCTGCCCTCGCTGCCCGGGACGGGAGGGGAGTGGAGAAATTTCCCCCCTGGGGGAGGTGGAGCCCCCCAACCCTCCCACAACAGATTGGCTCGAGCTGGACACCACGACTTGCCCCTCAGGCCCCTCCCAGGCACCCAGACACCCTCTCGTTACCTTCCCTGCCTGCTCCAGGGACCTCCTGCCCCTGTCATCAAGTCTCCTCTGTTACCTGTGGGACCCTTCTTGCACCTGCCTAAATAAGGGTCCTCATCTGCCTATCCCTGTGTCCTGGCCCCCCTTGCTCCCTCCCTGCTTGCCTGACGATCCCGCTACTTCCCCATACAAGATCCACTCCCTAACCCCAATTCCATCCTGCCTACCCCTCTCTTCTCAGCCAGGAGCCCCTTCTTCCCTCCCTGTCCAACCAGGTGGTCTCCATGTCCACGGGAGGCTCCCTCTTGGCCGTATTCCCCTTGCCCCAATCCAAGACTCCCCTATCCCCTCCTGGTCTGAGACCCACCCCACTCATCCCACACTGTTCCTGTCCTCTGCCCTCTAGTTTAGCCCTGTTTTAAATTTGCAGCTTCCTCCATACAAAAATCACCATGATGTCTACTGCTCCCTCCCCTACCAGCCAATCCCACCTCACCATCAAGACCAGGAAGTCCCCTCACCCTATGCTCCCTCTCTCCCCACAACCTCTTTAAACTGGAGACTTTTTGATACCCCTGGGCTTCAGCCCATCCTGATTTACCTGCCAGATTATTAAAAAAAAAAAAAAAAAAAAAAGGAAAAAAAAAGGAAAAACAACACAACAACAAAAGGAAATGAGAAGATGCCCTAGAATCCTTCAGCACTTCACATTCTTTTCTTTTGGTTTTGGTTTCTAGTCGTGGGATTGAGCGAAACGAGGAAGGAAACAAAACAAACACGTGAGAGGGGAAAAAAAACGCCAAGAGATTTCCTATTTTGTGGTAGCGGCTCTTGGGTCGAGATTCTGTTTTCAGCCCTGGGCTGGGAGGACAAGGTGCCTGCCCTTGAGAGTGGCCTGAGGCCTGGGCCGTGGGGTTTTTTATGACTATGGGACTTGAGGCGCCGCGGCCCCTGCTCCCCGCGCAGAGACGCAGAGCAGAGGTATTTTTTAATTTGTAATAATCTTGGGGCTCCGGGCCTCCCTGAGCCTGTGATCCCAACCATTTCTGGGTCTCGTCCGAGTTTCCTATTTTAATAAAATCCATAAAGGTGTTTACAACCCTCCCATGGGAGCTTCTTTGTTAGAGGCAGGGGGGAGGGTTGGCATGGAGCAGGAGTGTGCCAAAGTTACGGGTTGGCATGGAGCAGGAGGGTGCCAGAGTTCCCTGTGGTCACCCGCGCATGTGTGTGTGAGTACAGGAAATGCTCATGTGCGCACTGGCTGTGTGTACACACAGGTAATGCTCACATGGATACAGACAATGTGTGTGCACACAGGAAATGTGCCCCTGGAACATGAGGCACGAGCATGCAGGAAATATTTACATGTATACACTGTGTGCATGCATGCAGGACACACATGTACACCTAGTACAAGGAACATGTGCTCAGGAAGTGGTCACAGGCACACACAGTATCTGTGTGTGCACACAAGAAACGTGCACACCCAGCACAAGGAACATGTACCCAAAGGAAATGCTCACATGCACACACAGCACATGTTCCACATGCATACATGAGGGTGCATGTACACACAAAGGAGACTCATGCACACATGGCATGCTCATACACAGGGAGCTCACCACACATGTACAAGCACACAAAGAAAACACCCTCTCCATATGGACATCTCAGAGATGTATGAAGACCTGATTGTATGCTTCTGCTCAGGGACCTTACTAAGTTTTCATACCAGTGCAAATGACACACACAGCAGGCACCACTCAGATGTACCCACAACATTCCCATATACACAGACAGACTACACATACCCTGCTGACACACACAAATGCACAGGGATAGTCACAACCGCATAGTTGCACCATGCTGCCACACAGACACACAAGTGCGTTCCTCCCCAGAGAACACCTGCACCATGCTCACAGTCCCCCCGCCCCAAGCACACACGTGGAGATATGCAGACGTGTGCACATGCACACATGCGCACAGGCATGCTTCCCCGCCAGAGAACACCCACACCATGCTCACACCCCACACCTCTGCATCATGCTCATGCACACATGGATGTGTGCACGCGCGTGCACACACACACACACACACACACACACACACACACACACACACACACAGAGGCATGCTCCTCCCAGAGGACACTTGCACCATACTTCTTTCCCCACCTGCATCATGCTCACTTACAGAGATGTGTAGACACATGCACGCACATGTTCACATATGCTCCCAACACAGAGCATGCCTCCTGTGCAGCCCATCTGTGGGGAGGTAGTATGGGTACAACCAGAATGAGGTAACTAGGTCAGACCATGCCCTTCAAGAATTCCCACCCCTGCGTGGCCTTGCCCCTTCCCTTCAGCAGACTGAGCAGCAGAAGGCAGTGTGTCCCTCAGAGCTTGGGGAGTTCTGCTAAGTCTCAGTGTTACTTCCCAGCTCCTGGCCAGCTTCATCTGCAGTTCCTGGACACCAACGTGGATCTTTGGCTTGCCCTTTGGACTGTGGTTCTGGCTCAGATCCCTCTTGGTAACTTTGCTCTCACCATTTCTCCAGATTGCCTGCAGTTCAGCCATGACACTATGATACGTCCACACTGCACTCCAGCACAGAGGCACGCAGACCCCCACACTCAACCATGCTATGTTGACATGAGCACAAACACATGCGTGTGCCCACACACTGACATGCACAAAAGAGGGCAGACCATGCATGACATATACAACCTGTGGACATGCCTGGGGGTGTGTGCAGACAATCACACACAGACCACACTTGCACCCCAGAACATGCACCATGCTGACACATGCAAGTATGGTCACACAGCACTGTTGCACACCCATAGCACTTGTTCTGCTTGTCTAGTGGCTGTGCACACCTAGCATGTAGTCCACACATGCACCCACACACACAAGCCTGCAGTAGGAATAACCTATCTCTTGGGTCAGGGGGAAAGTCTCCTCCCCACAAGGTAGGAGTCATCTACCTTGGTGCCTGGCAGGTGGAGGGGCTCGTTTCTGGCTCAGCTGTCTTTTGGAGGGGAGGTCCTGGTGTATGGGAGAACTGGATGGAGGAGCCCCTGTATGGAAGCAAAACAACTGTGAGGTGCCAATGCAGGTGGGGGGGAGGGGCACAGGGAGTGGCATGGAAGGTGGGGAGCAGAGGATGTGGGGGGAATGAAGCAGAGCTGGGGGTGACTGATATGGTGGGTTGACTGTGCTGTGTCTGGTGGAAGGGGTCAGAAGGCAGGGGAGATATGTCACTGTGCTTCATCAGAAGTGAGTGATACTGCGGTCACTGTGACAGATCACAAGGGTGGAGTCAGACTGGCTGGAGGGGCAAAGAAGGAGCAGCAGCACCAGGGCTAGGAGTCTGCATGTGTGTGCATGTGTGTGTGAATTGTGCATAATAGGATGCATGCTTGGGAGGGTGTGAGTGTTCCTGAATTGTGTGTGCAAGATAAATGTATTTCAATTCTTTGTGCAAAGGGTGCATGCTTGGGAGGGTGTGAATATGTCCCAGTTGAGTTTGGGAGGGTGCGAGTGTGCATTACCTGGCATGGTGCACACTTCTGTGCATGGAGATGAGTTAGGCAGGGATGCAGAGGTGTGTATGCATGGGTGCATGTGCTTGGTGGGAAGGTGGGTGTGCATGAGGGGAGGCAGGTATGGGCGTGTGAATGTACATATCCGTACACATATGCACGTGTATGTGCATGGGCACAGGTGCTGGAGTGCGTGTGCAGTATTGCAGGTGTGAATGCTTGTGCTAGGCATGTGACCTTGGCCAGCCTGAGGGTTGTGGTGCTGCCTGCCCCCAGGGCACCATGCTGATCACTGGTCAGGTTGCAAGGCTGGCACTGGGCTAGGATGGCGAGATCAGTATTCATTGTGTTAGGGGAGCAGTGGTGGGCTTTGCTCTTACCCTGGTTGCTTCCCAGATTGGGTCCCCTGTTGGCTGGGCATTGCTCATACCCTAATTTCCCCCTTATCTAAAGGGGCTCGGTGCCCACCATGGGGACTGGACTGCCCCCTGTGTGGGAGTCTATGCCTGCTGTGGGGCCTACATTCACCCCAGGCTCTGTGCTACCCTCTGGCTCCTTGTCTCAGGCTTGGTTGCCTGTGGTAACACTCCCCTCCTCCCCTGCCAAGGGTGATGCTCCAAGGTCAGACAAGAGAGTAATTAGAGCTGATAAAGGTGATTAACAAAGCAACACGGAAGGAAGGGATGTCACCGTGCCCATCGGCTGGAGTTGCCCAAGGTGACGCAGGGAGATGCGGCAGAGCAGAGAGAAAACCCAGGAGTCCTGGCTCCCAGCCCCACCCCCCTAACCCACCAGACCTCACTCTTCTCCCAAGATTGTATAGCACCCAGGCATCCTGGCTCCCAGCCCCGCTGCTTTAGCTCATTAGACCCCACTCCCCCTTTAGACCTGGGATAGAACCCAGGAGTCCTGGTTCCTAGGCCCCCTCTCTCTTGCATTCTCTAACCCACTAGATCCCACTATCCTCCCTAAGCAGAGATAGAACCCAGGTGTCTGGGCTCTCAGGTCCTCCCTTTTTCTCTTAATCTTTCTCTCACTCTTTCTCTCACTCACTTAATCAATCCTGAGTGACAGGCCTGGGCTGTGGGAAGTGAAACTGAAAGCCCTTGGGGGACACTGGGTTATGGGGGAGTCTGTGAGGGAACACAATAACTCCAGCTTGTGTGTGTGTGTGTGTGTGTGTGTGTGTGTGTGTGTGAGAGGGGAGGGTTATAGGCTGAAAAGCGTGTGGCATTGCCCCCAGTGACCCTGATGTCATTGGGGGATGAGATTGTCCAATATGTCCCCAGGGAGTGAGGGACCTGGTGGTCAGATGCATTCCTGGGGGCAGCTGGGAGGGGGGTTATGGGTGGGACATGCGGCCATGGGGGCAGATGGGGGCAGGGGCGCAAGGGCCAGCCATCTGGGGCAGGGGGTATTGTCAGTGGGCCATGGAGGCAGGTGGTCCCATGGGGATCAGGAGGGGTATGGGAGACTCTGCGGGTAGAAGCTACAAGGCCATGGGGTCGGGGTTGGGGTTTCAGGATGAGAGCAGAGCTACACCCTGGGGGTCATGGGAACTAGTGGTGATACGGGGGGCCAGGGGCTCCATAGGGGCAATAGTGGGGGGACAGGCTCAGTGATGGACATGGGGCTGGCAGGTCACATTGGGTTATGGGGATGAGTTGTGAGTTATGGGGGAGGAGGCATGGTCAGTGAGTGGGGGACATGGGGATGGTGGGGGAAGTACCATGGGGTGTGGGGAGTCCTGGGGAATGGGGCAGAAAGGATCAGTGGAGGACATAGCTGTTGGGCGTGCTATGCAATTGACTTTGGGGGACATGTGTGGGGCTGGGAGTCAGGAGGGCTTGTGACTGGAGCTACCAACTCAGAGGGGTCATTGCTGTAGCGTCCTGGGGGACAGGATGGGGCATATGGGTTTGTCTGAGTAGGGGGAGAGGAAGGGTACAGGCTGGAGAGACTGACCCAACTACCCCCTTTCCCAGCTGGGACCCCTGACCCCAGTTCTTGTCCCCCCCCCAACCCATCAGAGACCCCTGGCCCTAACCAGGCCCCTGAGCCCCACTCTCGCCAAACCTTTCCCCCACCCTGGTTGTGCTGGGACCCCTGGACTCTGCGCCATATTTGGATGATGTCTCTGGATTCCCAGCTGAGCTGGGCAGGGAGAATCCTTCCAGCTCCAGCCCTGATCTGTATGTGGGGAGCAGTGCAGGAGCTGCCTGGGACAGGGGAAAGCTCCTGGCCCCTCTAGCCCCAGAAGGGGGTGCTGTGTGTGTGTGTCAGGGGGTTGGGGAGCTGTGGGGCAGGAGCTGGTGTGTGTGGGCGGAGGGGGTGGGGGTGCTCCTGGTTTCTCCTATCTGTGTCTGTCCTGTGTGTACCCCCCTGTACACACCTCTATCTCTGTCCAGTCAGTGC